TCATGGACTTTTGATTGTCCACTATGATCAATTGTTACTAAATCGACTGTTTTATTGATTTTCCAGTCAACATATAAAACCCCTCAGGAGGATCAGCATGAAGCTTGAGGAGCAGATCACGTCCCTTCAGCACAAACACAGGAGTCACAATGGTTCCTGTAAAAACAGTAGACACATGATACAATAAACATCACACACAATATGTGATGAATCATTCACTGCTGAATGTTCCTCCATCACTACACTTTATTTATTACACATTGAACCAGCGGTTCACCTTCAGCTCATCACTGCTTAACATGAAGTGACAGAAGTCTCTTCAAATGTCTCACGTCGTCTCTTCCTGAGGACACAGAGAAGCTTAACAGCAGAAACTAAACCCACTGAGAGCAAGTTGCTGCTCAAAGTTCTTCTTCTTGACGTGACAAAGTATTTCCATTCTGTCTCTTTGTCCTCTGTCCCTCCGTCTCACCACACTAATGTCCCCCAGCATCAGCTACACTGAACATGGACGACTTTAGAAAATAAGACGTCCACAGACTGAACGCTGAAGGAGTTAAACTCTGAGAGGAGTAAAGGTCAACATTTGTCTTGGAGGGAAAGAAGCGTTCAGCCCGTTTCAACAAGTGGTGAGAAAGTGTCTAAAAGCACCTGAATGTTTCCTCTGAATCACACACGTCTTCTGTTGGAACACTTAGAATATTCATTGAAATAAGACAAGGACATTAAGGAATGAAACAGAACTTAAGGAAGTATTTCCCTCGGAAGCTGAATGTGTTTATGTAAATTATGAGAAAATATTAAATAATCTTGTTAACTGGCTGAGAGCAATGATATTTATCTACGAACTCTAGTTCATTGTTTTTCAAACCTCTGATTCTTTATACTGAGACAACTTCCTGCCTCTGAGCTCAGAAGAACAACACGAATCCTGATTAATCACAAAGAAACTGTTCAAAAATGGAGAAATAGTGCTGCGGTATAAAAGCTTTGACCCAAAATATATAAATCAAGTTCTCACCTTGTGCTTCACATAATGTGAGCAGAGAAGCAAAGAGAAGAACGACGCACGACCTCATTGTGCAGAATGGAAGCTGGACGATGAAACCAGGAAGTGAAGAACGTTTCACTTCCTGTTTCTCCGGTTTGACTCACGAGGAAACAAAAGGAAACAAAAAACACAAACGTAAAGAGTGAAAGAAAAGAGTTTTTATGGATCCAGATCCGCTTGAGGACGCTTCTCTGGCGGATTGTGCGTTGCGGATGAAGGGTGGAGGTGAACTAAAGGGTGGAGGTGAACTAAAGGGTGGAGGTGAACTAAAGGGTGGGGTCGCTTCTCTCGGAGGGTAAATGGAGGCGAGCTGGGTGGAACCAGCTGGACTAGTTGGTTCAGATCAGATGACGAGAATAGAAGCAACGACTCCGTGAAGAGAAACAGAAACACGAGTTTCTCTCAATCAGCTGTGCGACAAAATGCGATAAGAAGCTGAAGGTGGAGGCCAGAGGAAGGTGGTGCTGAGCCAAAGCACCGAAGCTGGTGGATAATTATTTGAAGCAAAACGAGCAGAAAGTTCAAAACTAAGACATAAAGAAGAAAAAAATCACATCCGACTCAAGAATGTCGCTGGTCTTCTTTAGAGGAATCCAGGAGCGATTTGCACGGAAACGAGTTGAGATCAAAAGTGAACAATGTTGCTACAAAATGTCCGGAGAAGTTACTGGAAACGGGTCGATTCTTCTTCTTCCTCTTCTTATTCTTCTTCTTCTTCTTCTTCTTCTCTTCTGGTTTGAATCTCGTGTATTTGCACACCGCCACCTGCTGTCCGGAGTGCACATTCAGGATCCACTGCTCAAATGCCGATT